CCCAGAGAAGTTGGGGCTACCCCTTCCCTTGCAGCATTCAAGGCCAGTTTGGATGGGGCTTTGAGCAACCTGGTCCAGTGGAAGATGTCCCTGCCCATTGCAGGGGGGTTGGAACCAGATGGTCTTTAAGGTCCCTTCTAACCCAAACCATTCTGTGATTCTATGTACCATCCTGGGGGGCCTCTGGAGCTTTGGCCTCCGCTCCCTGATGCAGGCGAAGATAAAGTGCCCTTCTCCCTGCTCCCAAACTTCTGCCCATGGCAGGTGCTACTGGTACTGGCACTGAAGGCGTGTTCCTCCCCTTTTCTCACCCTTGCAGACCTCTTTCCATGTCACCTCGCACGCGTTTTCGAATACTCTGGCCCAGGGTGGCATGTACAGAGCTAACGGGCTCAACACCGCCCTGGAGAAGAGCCACGTCACTGGCCCAGGCAACTTCATCACTGCCTGCAACCACCTTGACTTCCATCCCAGCTACAACCCCAGTGGCCCGTCGCACTGCTAGATCCGGGGCGGTAATGATGACTCTAGGAAGCCTCTTCAGTTTACTGCTGGCTGCCTAGATACAATAAACCCCCTCCCCCCAAAAAACCTCATGAGCAAGCAAACAACAGCACTGGCCTTATCCTAAATCTGTTGCTAAGCCTCATCTGAGAGCTTGACAGGAGGCACCACACCCTGGCACTGTATTTCATCATGAATAAGGCAGGTTTCTGTTAAAAGCCGTGCCTGGCGCGTCCGGCTGGGACGAGGCGCTCGTCAGAGCACTTGGCTTCAGGGTGCTTCTCCTGAGCGCTGAGCTGGGATGCCAGAGCAGAAGCAAACGGCAGCGGGCAGGGAACTGAGTGGGTAAGCGAGCTGGTAGGAAAAGCCGTATTGTTGAGACGGAGCCCTAAACTTAAAACACGGTTTCGGAGCTGTTTTCTTCACAAAGAAACACACACAGGACACTAATGTTGCTTTTCAAAATGCCTTGGAGCGTACAGGAACAGCGTGAAGGCGAAAGCAGGAAGGGCAGCCCCGGGTAGCCCACCTTCCCGCGGCACGCCGCTGCCCGAGGGCTCTGGGAGCCCACCCAGCTACGGGTTTCTGGGCGTTGCTCACCCAGTATGGACGCTGTGAAGATACGCAGGGCAAAACTTTCAGTTAGTGCCAGCTGATCGCCGCCTTCGGTGGCCTTAGCGTTGTGCCTGCTGCAAGGCATCCGCAGTGCTTGACCCGTACGGAAAATCTCAGTTGCTACCACTGAGAGTAGAACTGTATAGACCGTCAGGAAAATAATTCACCTGGCACAATTAGCAGCAGCAGATTAACACACGTGCGTCACACGATTAACCACATCGGTCAGGACTTCATGAGAACTTTTCTCCTGAACACAGGAAATCTTTCAGCTTGACAACGTGAGGCTTGCTGTTACGATGTGATGACTAGCTACGAAGTTAGCAGGTTAAAGGTAGCAGTACATTTCTAAAAATACCCCCCCCAACTCCAAACTGTTGTATTTATGGCTTTTTTTAACAGGACTCCTACCTAGTTAAGGCCACAGATTTAGCTTTGGGGGGAAATCAGTTTAAATGTGTGTTATCAAAGCTGAGTTCAGTAATTTATTGGGTAAAAACACACACAGCCACCCTGGTACTAGATGAAAATAACTAATTTACAGAATGAGTGTTATTAGGAACAGTACCTTAATTTATAAAGATTATATAGTGATTAAATGTCAGTTAAATAGCTCATATGGACTATTTTACTTCATTTATAGGCAGCAGATAGTTATAAGTGCTAGAACAATACACATTACATATATATAGATTCCCTTAACCTTTTCTCTGTCACTAATGATCCTTTAAACTCGTGGCTCAGGTACCACATAGCATTAAAAATGAAGATTTCAAAACTGTTTCTGTTCTATTTACTGAATAACCAAATTCTGTGTTTTCCAGAGGTATCCATTAAGCCTTTGGATTTCTTGCAGGAAGCACGTTCATCTTTCTTACCTCTCAAAACTACAATGTTTTAAGAAATTATTCAAATAAAGACAACTAATCAAAAAGAAAATGTTTTGCTAAGTTTTATTGTAACAACTGTAGTTACACAGCCAGTGAAACTGAAACTAAAAGGAACACCTTAGCACATTTTGCTTAAAAACTAGTCTTGAAGAGAAACCAGTCTGTTTATGGATGAGAAATGGTCCAAACTTACAGGTATAACTGATGGTATATATTGAAAATGAGCATAATACTATTCTAGCTGTTTGCTAAAAAAACCTAAAAATAAAAAAATGACTGTAATAGTGTGTCCAAGTACCACTGCAAACCATATTTTTCACATTAGAAATATTCCCTATTTGTTTCATTTTTCTGTAGTCTTATAGACTGCCCAGGAAGCACGACGACAATATATTTAAACATACTTGCAAGGCAGAGGTATTCTACATAGTTAGTAACGTCATTAAGCAAAAATCTGAAGTCCAAAGCTGAGCAGGCCTGTGCTTGTGCTGTTTGCAGCCGCTGAAGCCCCAGCGTAGCTACATCTTCCTGGACCCTCCAGCAAGATCTCCACCACGCCTACCAAACTATTCCAGTTCTCACTGCAGTGCACTTGGTTACCTCCAACAGAACCGCTGGCTAAATTCACCTTTGCTGAAAACACAGCGATACACTGGAACAAGTAAACATACTAAGCAGAAACAGGCCTGAAAAGTTAACTTTTAAAATAGTTAACAGATGAAAATAAATAAGCGACACACTACCATTCACTGCTATTCTTCTGTTAGACTCTAGACAATACCTTGAGCTTCTCATAACTTCCCTTTCTTCTCCTGAAACGAAAAATAACATAAAGCACTGAATTAATATAAACAGTTGTGACAATTTTACATATACTTCTATCCACAGATTTTTCTGCAGGTAGAATAATTTAGGGATCAGACTGCCTCTTAGAAATACAAATTTAGTGGGTTTTGTCACATATTTTCCACCTGTTTTCATACTTCATCTAAAACCACCCACCTCCTTTCTTCCTTGCCTTAATTTCTTCCCTTGTTGTTTTATTAAACTGAAACCAGTTCCTTTGCACAGTTTTGCCGTGCACCTTACGTCACCCTGATACAGACTGTATCCCGAGGCATGCTGGAGTAAGGTTAGCCGATTGGCTTCCACTGGGGTTCGCCGGGCAGGGAGCAACGGGCAGGCTTCAGCTGCAGGCAGCCCACGAGACGCCTCCG